TAGATCAAAAGTTATTCAATATTAAATATTATATATAATTTTAATTATACGTTTTAATAAACATGAAATCTAATTGGCTAGCAGGTGAGGGTGGAGGTGGGTTTGAATGATTTATTAGTAAATCCTAATCAGCTGATTTCTGGAAGCTCTCTTGCCAGAATTAGGCAAAAGAAGAATACTATACTTGTCTGCTCTTTAGAATGATACATCAGATATTGATACATAGTCAAGAGCGCAAAGCTTCAGTTTTATAAATTCTTCTAGTATAGGTCTCAGCACCATGATAGCTGATATTTCTTAAAGTGCCGAAGGAGGTAGTAGAATTACTTTCAGTAATGAAAATTACTATTCCAGGTCTATTAGGGCAGAGGGAACTATGCAAGAACTTGGTTTAAAAACTGTTGGTAACGAAAATAGTATAATAGAAGTTTTGTTAAAACAGGCTAATGCTTTAGCATATAGGACAGTTGATAAGGATTATAGAAAAAGATTGCAGAAAGTACAATAGCTTTTTAAGAGTTTTTGTAACTAGACTAGGAGATCAGTATACCCGGAAGTGTAGATATTGTTAAAATATTTTTAGAATAGTTAGAGTTAGCAGATATGTTAGCACAAGTATAAGAGTTCTTAGAAGCTATAGATAGAATATATAAAGAAAAGAGCTTTAGTAATGCAACAGAAGATTTTAGAATTAAAAAGATGGCTAGAAGCATTAGGTTGGTTAGGGCTCAGAATCATGTCGTGAAATGGCTCAAGATCTATTTCTTTTAGAAACATTGAAGCAGTATTGTAATGATTTGTCTAAGAAAGTTGATATAGTGTTTTGGTATAGAGATTTAGCACTAGTGGCAGTAGGATTCTGTACTATAAGAAGGCTAAAGAATTATATAAATTAAGGCTAGGGATATTAAAAAGAAGTTGGGTATAATTTGGGTAAGAGTAAGAAAAAACAAAAAATGACCTTTTTGCTAATAGAAAGTTTGTGCTAATCAAGCTAACAGGGAGTAGATTCTGCTCGATAAGATTATTGAAAAAGTACTTGAAATGTGTTTATACACAACAGATGATGCATCTTTGTTTTTAGCTAGAGAAGGTAAAGAAATATCAGTTTTAGTAGTTTTATTAGTAATTAAACAAATAGTAAATTATACAAGTTTACAAAATTGGTTTTCTTCTTATAGCTTAAGGATAGAGAGTACAATAGTAGCTATAAGCAGATGAATGTCTTTGACCCAAATAAGAACAATTAGTAGTTAGGATTCTAGAGCAGTTATATTATACTTGAAAATCATAAAAACAACAAAGAATAAAGCATTAGTTAGAATAGGGTTTTGAGAGTTAATTTGTAAATACCTAATTAAAATCTAAATATATCATATGCAAGCAAGTAAAGGAAAGAGTATACAATTCGATTCTCTCAATAATCCTATTTAGTATTTTTTATAATTGTATATATTTTGTTGTATTGCTAGTATATCAGGTAATCGAGTAATAAATAGAATACTATAAACAAAATTACAAGCCATCTATTTGTCACAAGATCATAACCTAGTCTCATAACATTAGATTGATGATTTGTAGATTGATTTTGTAATATGATATATTGGGTGGTAATAAGTATGATATATTGAGCAATGGTAATTATGATGAATAGATGATGAGTATCATTTAATTAATTGAGTATGATAAGTATAAGGTTATATAAGGGTCTATATAAGATAGAAAAATAGAATCTAGATTTTTCTCTTGTCTTTGCAGCTAGTTTGATGAATGTCTAGCTTTGTTAATAGCACCCACCTATCTACTACTAGTAGTAGAAAGCAATATTTTGGTTTTAGAAGATATGTATCAATAGTCTAGATAAACAATTTAAATATCAGAATATGTCTTTGATAGCTTGACTAAACAGCTTAGATATCACCATTCACAATGCTACCTGATTGTCTATAAACAAAACTATCTGTGAATATCTTAACAGGTTCACAAAAGACTCTAATATCTTTAGTGTTGCCAAAAATTTCAGCTATGCTATCTTTAAAGTATTGAACCACCCTGGCCAATTTCTCACTACTCTGTATTCTATAAATACTCTGTATCAACTCATCATTAACATATCTATGAATACTGCCTTTACCAAAGCTGGCTTTTATGCTAGTTTGCTATTCTATTTCATTAGGTTTTTACTCAACTATCTTACATTGCTCAATGCTATATCTGTTAATTAAACTTCTTTGTTCTACTTCTAAAACTTCTGACTTGCTGCATCTATTATAGCATAGAACTTTATATACTTACTTGTACTGGCAAAAAGGTCTGCACAAAGTTCTGAATCTTCTTTACTAATAATACCAACCTTCTTGCTGAAATCACCTACAACCTTTTCACTATTTTCAACTTTACTCAAACCTTTTTGATTTTTTTTCTAGATCTTGACTAAACCTTTCTTCAAATCTACTATTAATCCATAGATTCTCACTCTCTTTATCAGTTTTTAATTCTTTTGTTCAGCACTCTTACAAATCCACACCTTTCCAAATCAACCCTTATTACCTTCTCACTTATATGTAATAACTCTTTCTTAGAATATGCTCTATCCAAATATTATCAATATGATTTCTGCAATACATCTCTTGTAATCTTTATGAGTCTATTAATACCCTTATCACCTTTAAAAAAACTACGATGCTTGAGAAAAACCAAATAGAAGAACCATATAGTAGAACTATTTCTCTTCTATCTAGAACCTTAGAAAACACTGAGCCCAATCATCCATCAATATGTGATAATACTCATTCTTCAAATTGAATACAATTACCTACTAATTTCTCCTAATTGTTTTAAAAAATCCCAACCCTTCAAAATAAAATATTTTCTCTAGCAACACCCAATTCAAGCATCTTAAATCTATCACTATATGATATCTTTTTGGGCTTGCTTTTAGTATCAAGAAAACTAAATTCGCTTCTAATAGTATGTTTAGTTTTTTTAACTTTTTGTGAACTAATTTTATCGCTTCTAACTTCATTAACTTTACTAACTTTTACTTTACTCATTTCAACTCCTTCTCTGAAAAGCTCTGTTGCTTTGGAACCTCTTTAGTACTAATGACTTTACTTCTCTTGAGAAAAGTGGTATCATGTTCTCTAGCCATAATATTACTAGAGCCACTAGCCTTATAACCTTTTTCTAATACTTACTATGAGTTTAAATAGATTCTTCTTACCACCTTTAGTTTCTTCTAAATAACTTCTTCCTGAGCATGTTAATGTCTTTCACCTCAACTCTGTTCTTCAAAAGAGCTGTTCAGACTTCTTCTAAAGACAATCTCAAGCTATATACTCTCACTTTTCACAAATAAAATATACAATTTCAGGGTTTCTATTTTGTCAAAAATCTATTCGTATTATATAATCTAGAACTCTTTTGATTTTTATATGATCTCTGGTACAAACCCTAATCAGAAATTATATTCCTGTATACTGAACCTGTATTAGAAGCAAAATCTAATACAATCTGTTAATACAAGCCTCTACTCAAAGACAAACTCAACTGCTCTAGTTGGAACTGCTATTAGATCAATTGATAAAATACTGGTTATTGTATCACCTGATTTGGTACTTCACTTCTAAACCCAACTAGGATATCCGCAAATACTGCTTCTGATGCTGCTTCTACCTTCTGCTATTTCTTCCTTGCTGATACCTGGCAGTAACTAGCTTATTATAAAAATATGTATTTATAGAATTATTATCTAACAAATTCTTAGTTACAATAACCTCTTGTGTCTTCATTACCTATTTCCAATTATTATCCACTATTGTATTATCCAAATATCTACTCACTTTACGTCACTTATTATACTCGAACTGGTCTCTTGGTTTATTCATTTTCTCTTTTAGCCAGTATTTATTTTCTTTAACATTATGAACCAAATATATATTTTTTTTAACTTCACTAACTACTTTCTCTATTGTTGTTTGAACTGTTTTTTTTAAAGACTTCTTCAGAGCTAAAAACTACAAATTTGGTGCCAAAATACTCTATTCCTTTTACTAGTTTTTGATCTTTTTTTAAATTTTTTTTTGCATATCCTAAAGCCCAAATCAGTACCCTATCCTCCATTTTACAATCTACAACTTGGATTTTCTTCTTCTATCTGCTCTTTTCTCTTCACTTTACTAATAACTCTTCTAATTAATCTCTTTACCAATTCCTTTTTTACTTTAGTTTTTGATAGTCCCTTACCCTTATACAATATTTTCAATGTTTCTATTAATAAATGATCCATACTGTACTTCAAAGCCTGGTATGAAACTTTTTCCAAACTCTTTTTCAAATTGTCATTCTTAGATAATGTTGCTGACAATACTTCTTGCAATTCATAATTATTTTTCATATATATTTCTGATTTTAATAATAACTATATGACTATTGACAAAGCTATATATTTATTGAGCTAGCAGCAAAGACAAAAGAAGAAGATTCAGATTCTATTTTTTACCCTTATATAGACCCTTATATAACCTCATACTTACTATACTTAATCAATCAAATAATACTTATTATCTATTCATCATACTTACTATTGCTCAATACATCATACTTACTACTACCCAATATATCATATTACAAAATCAATTTACAAATCTTCAACCTGATGTTATGAGACTAGGTTGTAATCTCGTAACAAATGGATAGTCTGTGATTTCGTTCACAATATTTTGGGACCTATTAATTAAATAATAAACTATACACTTAAGGTAGATTAGTCATAGCAGAAAAATGTCATAGTGATGTGATTAGCAATCACTTCTGATTCTGATAATATATATTACGTATTATATTAAAATAATTATTACAATATTAGTCTTTTATATATAAACTAATCATCATTTTAACATAATACGTAATTTGTATTATCAAAATCAAAGTGGTTACTAATCATATTATTGTAGTATTTTTCTGCTATAACTAGGGTTGTTAATAAGTTAGGTTGGTTTAGTTTAGGTTAACCCAACCTTTAACCTACTCTACTAAATTAAACTTACTTCAATATTTTGTTCTAGATTGCTTCAAATTGTTTAAAATTTAAAGACAATTTTAAACTCACTTCAATATGGGTTAAGTTTTACTCTGAAGTGCTCCAGAGTAAGCTATTCAATTAACAAATCTAGCTATAACTAACCCATCTATATACTTATTTAAGAACTTAGTTCTGACTAATTAAATACTTTGGTACAAACAGAACAGCTGTAATTTTATTATATTTTGATATTTTAATAAGCAAATCATAAGTTATCTAAACAAATATTTTTTTTTATATATAAATTTTACTATAAGCCCAAATATGCAGCATTTCTATTTAAAACTTTTTTTACTAAGTAAATCACTCTTGGGCTTGTAACAAAGTTGTAAAACTCATCAAGATATATCTAA